CACATATCCACACCCATACCCACTCACATATCCACACCCATACCCACTCACATATCCACACCCATACCCACTCACATATCCACACCCATACCCACTCACATATCCACACCCATACCCACATCCACACTTTCATCCATACCCTTGATAATATCTCGAAAATGTCTCAACAATTACACATGAGAATAATCTACTATTATGAATGTGGTAGAGGAACATCAACTACTTCATCTAATATTGAAGTTCCCAGATGTCCAAAAACATTTTTCTTATTCAATTGAGCTTTTCTTGAGTTAGTATTTAAAGATTTAACTGTCAGATGATTAACAAGTAGTTCATATTGATATTGTCGTTTTGCTGCTAGACGAACATGCTCACGTTTCATATAACAATAAAAACATGGGTAATAGCCATTATGACCAATCATATCAGCCATGACTTTGAGAGTAGGACAATCTGTAATGCCTCCATAGATTTTAGCATTAAAATCTTGTGAAACAGATTCTACTTGAAAAGCTAAAAGGAGAAGGCAATAAAAAAGATTTTGTGAACAATCTTATAAAGTTCTTGAACGTTAGAAATTTAATCAATTCTATTGAACCTGATGATTTAAGTGAATTGATCTTTGAAAATGATGATTTGAACCATATTTTCACATTCGGCTCTGAATAACCAATGTACATTGAGATCAAGAACATATTTGACCGTAATATTCGAAGAACTGGTGCAAGTTCAATAATAGCAGCGTCACAAATCCACAATTTTAAGTTAGTGGATTTCACTTCTGATATTCCATCAACATGTAGAAGTAATGACAATAGGTTTTCGTTCGAATGCTGTCGCAATAAACTTTCATAAATTTTTCCGAACGGTATATCATATGTTGTTTGTAAATCTGGGTTTAAGATGAGTTTTTTATATTCTTCAATATCTGACGAATGTCTTGACATAATATTAGATAACAAAGCGCATATATTTGTGTCAAAAATATGAGCAATGTACTTTTTTTTCTTCATACATTGATTACATGAATGTTAATCTTTTTCAAGTTCTTTTTCACAGAGAATACAAATTGTTCTTTTATAAAAATAGTCAGCTGTACCAAGTCTTCCTAATAATGTATTCATATCTTTAGGCATTTTATTGGGAAATGGTAATATAGATTTGATAAATGATAAAAAATTTTCAGGTTCCCTTTTACTTATTTGAGATGTTCGTATTAATCGTAGAAATTCAACCATGGCATCTTTGATGGATATGTAGGTGAAAGGATGCAATTCTTATGCATTTTGATCGAATGATTCATCTTCTGGATTTTGATCAGTCGAGTAAATGGATTCTAAAAATAAGCAGAAGGGTTTTAAAAATAAATTTTATTTAACAAGCTTTCTAGGCACAATTAAAGACAGCATTTTAAAAGCAGGATAAAGAATTAAAATTATGTTTAATCTATATCTGAATAATATTTGGGAAATAATAGTCCGATAAAGTTTGTACAAAAAAAGCCGCATCGAAAAAGGAATCTAAATTTAAATAACAATTTTTGTATGTGTGAAATGGTTTATTAGAAAATCAACGAATTAAGACCTTGTAATAGCTTAGTGAGATTTATGATTTTTTTTAACAAATGAATTGGACATGAGACCAAAATTGAATCAGTATATCATCTTGCTTTACTTCTACCATAGCATTAACACACATTTTATTTCCTTCTACACAGCTAAAATCTTTAAATATCAATTTTTATTTGCATTAAGGTGATGCGCTTCTATTTTGATGAAATTTCAAAAGAATCAACTAAGTTAAAGCGTTTTACTTTGGTGTACAATGCAACTGAAATAATTTTAAATATCAAACTATAACGATGGTTATAGGACTGAGAAGAAATGATGAGGAGCATCTTGCTGATAACTTGAGACAGTTATTCAAAGTTTTCGTTATGAAGAAGGTTACAGACTTTCGGCATCTATATCAAAACTAATAAATGGCAACTCTAAAAAAATCTCAATAAGACTTTATACCTAATTCGTCATTGCTGTTTAGCGACAATGATCTATTCTGATCAAAAATAAAACTTTTATCATCTGTTTCAGTATTTAATAGTTCCTCTGATGAAGCCTGAAGATTAATATTTAATATATCAAATTGATTAATTTCTTGTGATGCATTTGTAAGTGATGGAGTTTCTTCATCATGCATTGATTTTCTCATACAGAATAATGTATGTTTAAGTTGTGAATACACATCATTACTTCGAAACTGTCACATTGTTTTTCGTTTTAATTGTTTAGTTTTCTTTTGTTTGAAAGGAGTAATATCATTTGATAAACTTATACGATACTTGTGATTCTTACGACGTTGTTTGTTATTATTTTTTCGATCTTTTTCTGCTTCTGCAGCAATGTCGTTGATGAAACATAAATGCGAATACATGTGAAAGAAAACTAGCTGTAACTCACTTGAAAAATATTAAGCTCTTCTTATAATACAAAGGCATCAATTATATCTATTAAGATAAGAAATTGAAGGAGCAATAAAAAGTCAAAAAAGGAAAAATCTTGTTTATAACAGTACTGAGCTTTTCTATCTATCAATATAGACAGACGCTTTTTCTGTTGTTTTTCATGTGCGTTCAAATAATCTTGAACTCACTCATCGGACTAGACATTTATAGACAAATATAAAGATCTGCTAGAGATGGCACAATTATATAATCTTCATGTTTTTCTTTGTAAATACTTTTTATCACACAAGTTGTCTCCCCTCTGCTACAGGTCTAAAAAAAACAATAAAAAAATTTTTTATGATGTCAAAAACGAGTCCACCATTTCAATAATAGGGTGTGGGTGTGGGTGTGGGTGTGGGTGTGGGTGTGGGTGTGGGTGTGGGTGTGGGTGTGGGTGTGGGTGTGGGTGTGGGTGTGGGTGCAGGTGTGGGTAAGTGTGGGATGATAAAAGATCTACACCCACACCCACACTCA